ACTGGATGATGGAAGTAATAGAAATAGAAAATCTTTGATACACGGAAGCAAGAAACATTTTTACTCTTCGGATAGATCCAGTTTTTTGTAACCTATTTATTGATACCGTTTGATTCAGTAACCAGTTTCACTTGTGTTTGTATCTTACCTATCTTATATGTATAGCTTAGAAATAATCGAGTGAGACTGTCTGACTCACTCACATATCACGAAATCTCGGAAACTATAAGTGCTTGGAGTCTCTTTTGCATTTGCATTTATAAATATACCAATACAGTATTTACCTTATGAAAACTTTACCTCTATCAGCTACTCGATTTTGACTTACCAACTAGAACGGGACAAGTTAACCGCGAATAAGCTATCTCTGTCTACGTCGATAGTCCCAAGTTTTCCAATCACCAACTTTGAGGTCTGATCGAGAATATCCATAAATAAAACTTTGTGTCTCAGTAATAGAGTTCATTTTAGCTCACAACTCTCTCAAAGATCGGGTTGAATAGTCAAATAGATAGTTTCTTAATTTTCAGACTGTGACTGGTTTTCTATATAATATTTAATAAGCAATACTCAAGTATGTGGTTTAGAGGTTCAGTTTTAATTAAAGGTTATGTTATTGTTACTAATTTAGCAATGGCGAATAAAATACACGTAAAAAAATGTGTCGTTTCACTGAAAATAAAGTTGAATTAAGTAATCGATAATATCAGATAACGCATCGTTCTTTAACATCTTTAATTTAGTATTGGAATCTTTCAGTTTAAATTGATTTTCTCACAAAAAGAAAATCAAATTTACTGAAACCAGAATCTATGAAAGGATGTATCGCGTTTTGTCGACTCTGTCTTTAGATTGATCGTGCCAGTACCTTAACAAAAATAAAAAATAAAAATACACCCCAAAAGAGGCTGAAAACTTCCAAACCTCACCAATTTATAATTTACGGCCCTCAAATGACTTAAAAGGAAAACAACATCGCATCACAATTCCACATTTAAAATAGAAACGGCGTATTTTCTCCCCGAAAACCCCCGATTGAGTGATAAAGACAAGGTTATCGACCCCGCATTATCATATTGTTTCTTTTGTCTTTCCCGAGCATTCATTAATTATGTACCGAGCACTAGTGATGTGCTCGTAAATATCCAGGCGTCGAATTTTACTTTTGAAGCCTCGAGATTGGCAGGACTCAGTGAGCTAGAGACGCGAGCTTCAAAAGAGTTCCAGCCTAAAATGCTTCAACATAACCTATTCAAAGAGAACCTATTAAAATGAACGCAAGCCTTCAATAAAATCCACAATACTAGAACTCTAAAAGATGAATGTCTTATAACAGAATGAACGCGTAATCTATTGTCCTTTACTTCTACTTATCCTCAATCATTAGCAGTCCATCAGAACTAATGTGCAGAAAAAGACTCGAGCCCTGAAAAAGTATCTATCAATCGAGCTCTCGAAACGGCTCGAGCCCTAAAATAGTATCTATCAATCGAGCAATCAAAACGGCTCGAGCCCTGAAAAAGTATCTATCAATCATGCTCTCAAAACGTCTTGAGCTCTGAAAACGACTCCCAAGACCCGAATCTTCGAGCTTCATACAAACTACGCTGAGTAACACAGTTTAATTCCATCACTTCTTCTCAGCNAAGAAGGTTTTATTTATCAATCATAATAATCTTGACAAGATAAATCGTAAAACAACTTTGATCTGAATAATTTTGAACTTTACTGACGAACAGTTAAAGATTATTTTCTCTAACTCGAGATTATTCTGTAACATAGTTTCGAAAGGTACTATGTGCTCGCGATTCGTTGGAGGAATCAATTTGAAAACTGACGAACCTTTTCATTCCGTGACTGTACTCGTAAATATCCAGGCGTCGAATTCTACTTTTGAAGCCTCGAGATTGGCAGGACTCAGTGAGCTAGAGACGCGAGCTTCAAAAGAGTTCCAGCCTAAAAAGCTTCAACATAACCTATCCAAAGAGAACCTATTAAAATGAACGCAAGCCTTCAATAAAATCCACAATTAGAACTCTAAAAGATGAATGTCTTATAACAGATTGAGCACCGTATGCGTAATCTATTGTCCTTTACCACTACTTATCCTCAATCATTAGCAGTCAATCAGAACTAATGTGCAGAAAAAGACTCGAGCCCTGAAAATGTCTCTATCAATCGAGCAATCAAAACGGATCGAGCCCTGAAAAAGTATCTATCAATCGAGCAATCAAAACGGCTCGAGCCCTGAAAAAGTATCTATCAATCATGCTCTCAAAACGTCTTGAGCTCTGAAAACGACTCCAAAGACCCGAATCATCGAGCTTCATACAAACTACGCTGAGTAACACAGTTTAATTCCATCACTTCTTCTCAGCACCAGTCCAAATGTTGTCCCGGAGTAGTAGGGTAAGCTATATCTTCTTTTTGTCGTGTCGACAACAAACCTGTACAGTGTCAGCCCAAAACTCCGCTACAAGAGTGGCGTTGTCAGTAGCATTCATTAAAAAACAACTGCACGCAGAGAACCATGTCTGATCTTCATCGACTGGGGAACAAAACCTTTGCACTCCAAGTTTGAGTCATCCAAGAATACCCAGAAGCTATATTTGGGACGTGTATAAGTGCCCAGAAAAGGACCTAGTACATGCTAATATTTATATTTCGATTTTTATTTGATTTGATTTAAACGAGGCGAGTCCTGTAAACGACGCCGAGCTCTAGATAAAAGGACTGAGAGGCTTCAAGCCTTGTACATCACTAGCTACGTAGCTCGGCACGCCTCTACCATTTGTATTTGTTTCGGCTTTTGCAGATTTGTTTTCATTTGGCTATTTCGTGAGGGCGTGTCTTGATGGACTCTCCAGAATTTTCTATGCCACTTGAATTAGCTAATATACGAAATATAAGTCCATTTCATCATTCACATTGTAGCAATCTATTGCTTGATGAAGGCTTTTACAAAGTAGGTAATCCTGCTTTTTTCATCAGCCACTAACAACTTTGCTGTGGTCGTCGATCCATCGAGCAACTACGCATTAAGCATTTTCATAGGATCTTCGACAAGTTACGATACGGCTTATTTTGGTTTTGATCTGATTGTCGTTGTCCAGGGAAGGTTTACGCTAAGAAAACATGGGAAAATTACGATTTACACGCATACGAAGTCGTGGGTACAGCTAGTTTGGAATAAGAATGATGAAATTTTGTTAAATTTATACAAAACCAGTGGTAGGCGTCTCTAACTGCGAGCCACTCTGCCAAATTCTAGCAGAGTGTATTTTCTTATAAAATATTTCAATCCACATTAGAGGCGTCTGAGGATTTCCCTTTGTCTGGACAGGATTCTAATTTGTTTGACTGTACTTTAGTAGGTTTTGTGACGATGAATTTAAGTCTGAGAGAATCATTTTATGGCTAAACTAGCATGATCTCGCGGCTTCACCCGCATGAAATTTAGTTTGTCACAGTAACATTTTTTATTATCTGTTAAATGAACAATAAGCCTAGACGCAGACCACCGACTTTTAGTTGGTCGATAGTTGGGCCCGATTCTAATTTGTATGAAGAATCGACCGATACCAAATCGGTGTAGTGTGCGCACTTCCATACATGTTCATACTGATTAACAGCCCTACTCAACTATCGGCCGACTAAAAGTCGATGATCTGTGCCTAGGCTAGTACTGTAAAATTTTATCAAGATCTGTTCAGTAGTTTTAGCGTGAATGAGCTACAAAAATCCATCCATCCTCACAAACATTCACATTTATAATATTAGTACGATAGGAAGAAGGACCAGAGAGTTTTTTTGTTCTTTTCTTTCCTTCATGAAGCCACGTTTTCAATTAGGTACAAATAGGTTACTATTGATTGAACCCAGTTCATATAATTTAGATAATTCATTATTTTAATAAAAATTTTTTTTTTATTTCTGAAAATTAAATTTCTTTCCATAGTGGGTTAGTAGTTACAGAGTAGTTAGTATTTTAGAGAAAAAGCGATGAGTACAATATTATGAGTACTTAGAATCTTCATCATGAACTCTTTTATAGTAAGTTAGAATGCTTCTGGAGATTTTTACAAGTAAATTGATCAATTAAAGGATGTCTTTAGCAACGAATTTTCAAACGTCTTTGCTTGTAATAAATTTTAACCAAAAAATACTTTCTTGTAGGTCAAATATGTATATTACAAAAGTATGCCATTTCTCGCGGCAAAATTTGGTTTGACAACAATAGACGAATTCATATTCCTTCTAAAGATTTGTATCGCAGAATCTTTATTGTAAGTATCTCGCCCGAAGTATCATCATATTATCATATTATAAAGTATTTCGCTTGTGTACAAGGGTATTTACATGACAATGAATGCTCGACACTACAATATTATGCGAAAACGTTGTTGTGAGAGAAACGTACAAAGCCATTATTTTATACTAATTGCATAAAATAGGTAGATGGTGTTTTTTATTTGAACAGTGCGATATTATTTCTTTTTGGAAACGTACTGAGATATTTTTTTTAAATAGTCAAAGATAGTTTTTCAAAAACCGGCCAAATAGCGAATTGCACAGCTGAAAATGTTTTTTTAACGATGTAGAGCCCCAGCTCACAATAAACAGTAAGTAAGAGTTTCACAGTCATGAATTCATGATTATAATAAGTTAAGTTTTTTAAATAATGTCCCTCGTTACTGAAAGGTAACGGGAAATTTTGCAAAAGCCTGTCTCCCTAACGAATATGCTCATTAATAAATCCAAACCATATTGTACCGAGCGAGCCCGCAGCTTTTATTAAAAAGTTAATTGAACCCGACCACTTACGACTCAACAGGTTATCGATTCAATTAATATTTAATCCGACATTGAAACGTTAACTAACGATCCATTACCAATAACAAAGAAAAATAAAAGGCTTAACCATCGCCATTAAAAAAACGCGCGTCAAATCAAATGACGTCTGTCAAACGCAATCGATGAAAAAAGGTTGCGATACTCACCAAATAGTTCGGTCAATCCAATTTAAAAACAAAGTCACTCACAGCACTTGAAAATGGAATTTAAAAAAGAACACTGATCAGTTTGATTCGGTTCGCGGTACTTCGCGTGGCCGGGCGTCCTGCACAGAGGGTGAAACTCGACTGTCAGAGCCCTCGGAGGCTCAGGACCTCCCCACCTCGTAATGTAATGACATTTTCAGCCCGCCCCTTATCTACGGTGCTCGCGAATAATGATATGAATGAGGGACGACATTGGTAAACAAATATCGCTGTGACGGCTTTTATTTCGGCCCTTTATCGAAACTGAATGAGCCCCACTTTCCTGTTCGATCAAAGGATATAAATGAAACTCATTGTTGTTATGCTTCATATTAGATATTTACGTTTGATCGTGCTTTGTCTTTTTGCGAGTTACGTTTCATTACGTGGCAATTTCAGATAGAGTACATGCAACTTTATTGGAAACGTTTCAAATAAGAGACAAAAAACAATGTGACGCACATTCTTGTTTAGTAACTTTTTACTCGCTTATTTATAATATCAATCAATATTATCAGTAAATCATTAATAACTTCTAATTTACAGGGAAAATACACGACTTTTCAATTATATAAAAGCACTATTATAACATAATAGAGAGGATAACTGTAAAATCATGACGCAATCTGAAAATGATAAGCACTGAAATAAAAACGTGTTTTATTGGTTTAGATAAATGAATAAATTAACGAAATTATAAGTAATAAAACAGGCATACACCATAAAAACGATTTTAATTTGTAACTAGAGCAAAAGTACTAGCTATACTTTAAGCACTAAATTCTTATTTCTCATACGAGGCACACAAAAACTGATGTGAAATCATTAGATCATTTAGTTTCCACTGCAAGAAAACGACTCTCTCCATTTTTAAAAAGACGATTTGACCTCCCGTTAAGGAGAATTTCATATTTGCCCGTTAGTCGCCATCAGACGAGTAGGGGTGGTAATGTGAAAATAATTTCATGCATTACAACCTTTTTCGTCCCCATTGGAAGCACATTCATTCGGGCAAATATTTGCCCGGCGCGGGATCGAAGCGCGCAAACAAGGCTCCCTTGGGCACGACAATCAGAATCTGGGGTACTGGCTGGTTTTAAATACTTTTTAGTTTTTTTGGCACTCGACAATCGACATTGACAGAACATAGAAAAAAACAATTCTTTTGTTTGTATTTCGTATTTCGAACATGAAAAAGTACAGTCCACACAATACAACTGCATAAAAACTCACAGTGTCCTTAGCTGTGGGTACTTACTGTCTAACCCCTTTTTCATAAAAAAGTAAGTACCTAGTCATAAAACACTGTTTTCCTTAACACTCTTTTGTCTCTTTTTGCCTCATTGAAAGCGATATTAAGCAGAAAAGGACCAAACATGTAGAACCTACGAGCAATTTACTTATCAAAGATAGATTTATGCCCGTTTTCACCATCAATCCCTAATTTTTATATGTAATCAAAATTCCTGTTATGTGTTACCTTAAGGGTCACTTAAAAATTAAGGAGTGGTGGTGAAAATGGGCATTAGATACTCAAAAATCACTTAAAACATTAACGTCATTGTCATTTGAATACAAATATGTCAGTTTCTTTAGACTCTAACTTTACCTATAACCCATGACCTGAAGCAAAGGTTAAAAATAGGCAACCCTCATTTCGTCTAGACTAGGGAATAACAGACAGGCATTTCAATTTATTTAGTCTGGAACTCTGGAATTCAAGAAGGATCGATATATCAAACGGTTGAATATAGTTTTACATACAAAGTTTTGTAAAAGAAAAATCTTTTTGAATAACGCTCTCGAGTCTTGTTATTTCAAATTGATTTCGGAGTGTTTTTATCTGTGTTTTCATATAAAAAACTTGATCTAAATAATTATCTCAGTAAAGTAGGTATGGCTGATATAATGTAGTAGAACAGTCGACAGATCAGAAACATTTTTTTTGCAAAATTACACGTGCTCTAAGATAATTAAAAATGGTAGAGAACTTAGCTTGATGTTAGCCAAAGGAAACAAAATTTTTGTTCACATTATTAATGGTGATAAGACTTGTTCTATTTCCGCTACCGTCACATAATAATTCTTTCGGCATAGCAACAATGTTAACTGCATTGTTATGTTTCAGCAGTTGGATGTAAGATAGGCAGATCTTCTGTGATCGTGGATTCCGGGTGAAGTTCGCTTCCATAGTTCCATATTCGACGTGATCATCGCTTTCCAACAGGTGAGATGCAGGCCAAAGCTTCCCGTTGTAACTAGTATAAAAAAAATTTCGTATGCAACAGCCGTAATTGCCCTTTTCCCCATGAATTTTATAGCCTGTAAAAAAGCCGAATAATGTAGCTTCCTACTGGTGAAATAATTTTCAAAATCGCTTTAGCATTTCTACAGATTACTTGCGACAAACTCACAAAGTTTTGTAACTCTTTCACACAGACAAGTACAGATTAAAAAGCTTCAGTCAAAAGTTCACTGACCCAGACAGAAGTCCTGGTTGGCTGCCAGAGAGAGGACTTATGCCAAATCCACTGTCTGGCAGATATCATAAATACAGCGATTGTGCCAATTATGCCAAACGCAGCCATTTTTTGGAACATTCACCCTGTGTTCACCACCATAAACACAAGCTTTTAGCTGGCTAATTTAACAATAGGTTGGTCCACCCACAAGTTGGACCGACCACCTCATAAATATAGCATGAAGGCGCTGCTGCGCTGGATGCAGGCCGCTACCAACCGGGCGATGTGGAAATCATTGGAGGAGGCCTATGTTCAGCAGTGACTTGACGTCTTGTGGCTGAAATGATGATGCTGATGAATCAGCAATAGGGAAAAATCGTTTAAATAATATTATTTAAAATACACGTTGTTTTAGAAGCTTTATGGCGTGCTACGATAAACAAACGCGAACGTAGAGTTCGTAGAGTCAGCGTGAAATAGTTTGTGACACCAAAGTGATCAAACAGCTGATAACGCAACCTTATTCCAATTGAAACAAAGACGAGTTCACGTGTTTACGATATTTTTGGCTGCTTTGGGTGTCACGAAGACGCTAACTGTACGCTCGCCTGTCAGCATATTGGATAATTCGCTAACGAAAATTATATTTTTGATTAAACATAATTATACAAAATTGACAGATAAAATTCATACCTATCAAGTGTGTTGTGTGTTTTATGTTTGCGTAAGTTTTGCCTCTGTCATAATAGCCTCTGTCCGATTGCTGAAACTATCTTCTTTTTCAATTGCTGGAAACGTATCTCCTATCTTTTTTTTTTTTCAGATGATTGAAAACTCAACGGGTTTTTCAGAGCTAACATGCTTAATTTTAGATAACCTTTTGTATCGGTTAAAACCATGTCTACTACTAATTCGGACACACCAATATGGTGTAAACAAGCAAAATAGAAAAATATAAAACAATAATAATTCCCTAACACACAGCGTAGCTTCAAGCACATTGCTAAGTACGTACCTATGTTATTGTGTCATATGTTTTATTTTAATGAAAATACAATACACGTGTTCCATCAAATTGATCAAAGCAACATCCTATGTTTTATTTCCACCACCCCTAGTTTTAAAGTAATTAAAACGAGTAGCCATTAAAAGTCGAGCTTTTAACACGTAAAATGTTACGGTTAGAAAATAAAAAATAAAAAGTATCGTATAAAATATTGAACGCAATACAATAAAACACGTTTCCGACGGCAAAATAAATATGGCCGCTACCACGATGTGCGATCGTACCTCAATCGATAGAGCTAGTGATGTCCGATTACAGGAAAAACCGGATCCGATATAGCCCCAGAATTGCCAAACTTAGAGCTCGTTCCCATGGTAATCCAGTTTGCAGGATGCAGCAATGCAGGATCTTGCAAAACTGGACTGTCATGTGACCAAACATATGTTTTTGAAATACGAATTATGAACTCGAACAGATCGGTTTTTTGCGGGACACTGCAAACGAAGTGTTCGTGTAAACAGTTCCTGCAAAAAAGGGTTCCTTAAGCAATAGTGAGTGGGGCGCACAGCTCGTTAAACTGATGGCCGCTGTGGCACAAAAATTCTGTGGCGACTACGGGCCAGAAAACGTAGCCTCCCAACAGGTGACCCGACGGCCTAGTGAAAGTCGCGGTATGCCCGTATGCACCCAGGTGTATTACTCGGGTGCGGCCAAATGTAGGTAGTGTGGGATCGGTCATTGTGGAAATCCTTGGAGAGGGCTATGTCCAGAAGTTAACGTCATTTGCCTGAATTTTGTTCCGTCATCCTTGTGTCCCGTTGTCATGTTTCTCAACGTAATCATCAGGTCATTAGTCTCCATTGCAGCTACTCTTAACCGAGGACATGGAGGGACACTCCCCATTCTAGCCAGACGAGTTGGGAAGGCCAAATCCTCCATTTACATCTGGAAAATAAGAGAGAACTGTGCTCCTGCAATGACTTGATGATAAACAGTATTTTTTACTGTCATTTGCTGTGTCATAATCATTAAGGTTATTAAATTAAGTTTCTTTTGTTATCAGTAGGTAGGTTCGTTCGTTTCAGCCGAAAGACGTCCACTGCTGGACAAAGGCCTCCCCCAAGGATTTCCACAAAGACCGGTCCTGCGCCGCTTGCATCCAGGTAGGGATATTCGATATACATCGATGTATTGAAAACATCGATGTTTACAATGCGATACATCGAATGGATCCGATGTTTTGAAAAGCTATTGAAATACTCGATGTATCGATGTTTTTAAGTTTTCAGTGTTAAAACATCGAATCGATGATAACCAATTAAAATTTCATAAAACTCAAGTCTGACCACTAAAATCAACCCAACTTGTATTTTAAAAATGTTGGCAACACTGCGTACGAGTGAAGTGAGTAGTGTCTAGTGACAATTGTTTTTGCAAAGTCTTCCAAAAGAACACTGGAAATACTTAGGATATAACAAACTTATAAAAATAAATGCGGATGTTTTTTTTGTTCTTACTTTAATATACAGGTTGGAATTTTGTAATGCCACCTGGAGGGAAAGTACTCTTAATACTGTAGATAGAAAATTTTACTCAGAGAAAACATTCCTTTATTTT